ACCTCAACAAGGCTCAAGTGATTCGCTCTTCATTCCAGTGCAGGATTTCTCAATCTTGGCATGATTGCCAGTTTGAGCTGAATAATTCTTTGTTGGAGGGTCAATCTTGTGCATTGTAGGATGCTTACCAGTATCCTTGGCTTCTACTAGTTAGATGCTAGGAGCATCTCCCCAACTGTGACAACCAAAAATGTCCCTAGACATTGTCAAATGTGCCCTGGCAGACAAATAGTGGAGAGCCACTTTTCTGGATATATTCTCTATCTCATTACATTGGTAACTGCAATGCAGAGTAGTGTCAAACATAACGAGATTCAGAAGCTATGTGAAGTATAGTGTTTATCTGAGTGCAAAGCTTCAGGATGACTACCCAGAAAACACATACTCTAAAAGAAGGGGTCATCATTCGTAAGTGGATTAGTTAGGGTTTCATTTATATAGGGAGTTACATTTTCCATACAATGTCAGTGCATAGGTTATAGCCATTTGATAGGTTACAGACTGCAACAATAAAAGGAGCATTGCCTTAACGTTCCATGAGGAGGAGTGATGATCTGAGGAAGTCTTATCGCTGTTGCCACAACCCCTTTCCTAATCATTTAGAGGAAAAAGCAGAAGTTCCAGCTGCACACTATGTGACTCAGGCCACATAGCCAGAATCCTCTCTGGGCTCAAAATACCTTAAAGTTCCAACAGTTTCAAGTTTGAATTACTTAATTTTACAGTAGAAAAAGATGTCAGGAAGGATACTGAAAAAGTATCTAACCGAGAGTTAAGAGTTCAGACAGGGCTCCCTAAAAGATGTCAGAAATGTCAACGCACATGGTTGGAAAATAGTTTGCCAGGTTGAGGCACATCATGTATGGAAGCCTGCTGATAAATCATAATGAAACATCAGGGAAATATTAAGGAATTCAGAGTACCAGCAGGGAAGTGGCGAGAGACACCGCTGGGGCAGGTGGGTGAAAGGAAAGGGATGGAGAGCCTTGTGTACTATGATGAGGAATTTGACCTCCTGAAGTCAAGAGGGGACCACTGAAGTATTTTAAACAAACAAATAGTTTTATTTTAGAAAAGTTATTCTGGTAGCCGTGTGGAAATTAAAGTCAACAAAGATAGAGAACATTAGGAGACAATTACACATCTTAGATAACATTCATAGAATGTTTAGGGCAATCTGGTCACTGACTAGTCAACCAGGCAAATCCTAGTGTCATCCTCTTTCTACATCAAAATTTCAACAAAGCCATAGCTGCTGGCAGTTCAAAAAGGAAATATCGCTGTCACACAGTGAGATTTGGCAAGAAGGTAAAACGGGTTCATGAGCTCTTAATCACAATTTTCACTGTATTTTATTAGAATTTAAGTTTTACTTACTATGTTCTCAATCTCTAAAATTTGAAATTCTCACATGCCTTAGCATGTCAACTCTGTTACTGTCTTCACATCTTTGGAAGATCTCCTCCAGGCTCAGGGACATAAATATAGCCTATATTGTGTTAACTTTAATTTACATCTCTAGCTTGAATTCCCCCGCCTAATTATCAAAAACTGCTCAATGTATCAACTTATGTGCCTAATAGGGTCCTCCACACAATCTATCAGCAAATTCTGAAAGCACTATAATTAAATATCATATACCTATACCTAACTCACTCTCTCTCACACACACACACACACACACACACACACAAATGGTCAGGTTTAGTTTCTGACATTATTTCTTCTTACTTTTCCTCTAAATGTGTTACCGTGTGAGTTTCTGTTTTTATAATCAATCTTTACTCAGCTAACACTGTCTACTGTCCACGTGCATGCTATTAACTGAAACTACTTACTCACATAGCCTTACCAATTTTAAGAAAACAAGGCAAATCTGGAGGAAAAAAAGTCATGTAATATTAATAGTCCATAATCTATTATAAATTATTCTGCAACTACTAAGCAATTGTAAAAATGATGCTGTATTTACCCCCCAACTTAATCTTGTGTAATGGCCTACTATGAAATAGCATATCTCATTTCCGAGCCTAATGAATTATTGTATATACTATTGGATCAAAATTACATGTATAAAAACCTTAGGTCTCATGTTTCTTGATATTTCTGTGTTTGAACTGAAAACCACACTACATAATCTCTGTAATTTGTGCATGACTATTAAGTTACAAATAATGCAATACAACCTGAGCTCGCAAAGAAAAACAGAAAAAGAACTTACAATAGGATACAGAATCAGAATCATCTCAGAGAGCCACAGGAAGGGATGTAGCCTACCTAGCCTCAATGAACTTGACGCAAGAACTAGGTACCAGGCAGTTTTCTTTGAATTGACTCCTCTTTGCTTTATTTACAAATCTGCTTCACTCTTCTGTCTCCTTCTGTTTTCCTGATTCATTGGTTTGTGAGGTAGAGCCTGACGCATAATGATTCTATGATTCTTTTTCTTTTCTTTCCTTATTTTTTTTGAGATGGAGTCTTGCTCTGTTGCCCAGGCTACAGTGCAGTGGTGCAATCTTGGCTCACCGTAACCTCTGGGCCCTGGGTTCAAGTAATTCTCATAACCTAGCCTCCCGAGTAGCTGGGACTACAGGTGTGTACTACCACGCTTGACTAATTTTTGCATTTTTAGGGGAGGCTGGGTTCCCCCTGTGGCCAGGCTAGTCTCAAACTCTCGACCTCAAATGATCTGCCCACCTCAGCTGCTGGGATTACAGCCATGAGCCACTGTACCTGGCCCTGTAATAATTCTGGAACTTATATGTTACAATTCCCATCATCAGGCAGAGTAACTTTCTCTCATTCTCAATGTCTCATTTCTGGGAAAGACACTTGCTATTGACTGAATGTTTGCACCGCCATCCCCCCAATCCCAGCATCAAATTTATGTTGAAACTATAATTATGAATGTGATGCAATTTGAAAATCAGAACTTTGGGGGGTAATTAAATCACGAGGGTTGATCGTTTATGATTGAATTAGTGCCTTATAAGCAGAGAAACAAAGAGAGGTTGCTTCTTCTCTCTCTGTGCTCTCTGCCATGTGAGTAGGTAGCAAGGACCCAGCCATCTGCAAACCAGGGAGGGCGCCCTCACTGGGGACCCGGTCTTGTTGGCAACCAAATCTTGGACTTCCAACATCTTGAACTGTGACAAATACGTTTCTGTCGTTTAAGCCACCCAGTCTGTGGTAACTTGTTATGGCAGCCTGAACTGACTAAGAGACTATCCAGTCTCATGGATCAAATGTTAACAAATAATTGAGATCCTGCTCTACTGGAGACTTCTTTGTCCTCCATTGTAGATTGAGGGAATGGGCAGTTGATAGAAATGATTGTAAAAGGTCCAGTGTGGTTTGATGGTACAGTTAACAATTTAAATCTAAATACATTATTTTCCCTTTTGGTTTGGCACATATCAGACAAAAAGTCATGTCCTGGTCATATGGTGCCTTAGATTCAGGGAAATAAATAAAAGGGAAGAAAAGAGATATCTCAATCCCTTCATCCTACTGTGATTAACTGAAAGAACTGCATTTGATAAACTCTACTTTGCTATCATTTAGGAGACTCTCCTTAAGTTGATTCTGTTCAACTTATCCAGATGCTATTTAAAACACACCTCTGTAGAAGATGTCTTAGTTCCCACACTCCCTCCCACTTTTATACATTAGTCAAACCATTACCTCATTCCTGAAATGACCTCTCTCCCTGATTGCCTAAGTTTACTGAGTCCTCAAGACCTCCTATTTAATTCATATACTTTTTAATACACGATGTTCAGTGTGCAAAGGTTGTAAGATTTAAAACATTAATTTCCATTTTAAGGAATTTATAGTATTCTAATGGATGAAACACTTTCAACACAAACTAATATATTAAACAAACAATAAAACAGCCTTAGACAAGTATACAATTAGTCTTTTAATTGGTGAAGCACACTTTAAATATAAGCTAATTATACAAATAATAACATAACCTATATATGTAATATACATATAAAATGTAGAAGTCTATGTTATTATTATTAATATCAAATGTATTAAGCAAACATAGCCTCATATGTGTAAAAAGTAGAAGTGTCTGGGGGGAAGAAGTGAAATTCAGAGAGGAATGATGAACAGTTTTGTAGGATGGGAAATTAGGAGATGGGAAGGGGAAGTTCAGGAAGAATTCACAGAACTGCAGTGATCCTCCCTTCTGATACTCTTATCTGCCCTATCATGTGTGATGTCTTATACATTGGACCCATCACTTTCTCTGTCTACTTTATTTTTCCAAGGAGATTCTACATTCATGTGAAGAGCAGACATGATTCACCTATTTTCTCCATTTGACACGCTACGCTGCAGAGTTCCTATCATTTTTTCTTGTTGGTTTTTTTTTTTTTTTTTTTTTTTTTTGAGACGGAGTCTCACTCTGCCACCAGGCTGGAGTGCAGTGGCACAATCTCAGCTCACTGCAACCTCCACCTACTGAGTTCAAGTGAACCCCGCCCCCCACCGCCACTGCTACATTTGACTGGCTTAATAATAAAAAACAATACCCCTTTCTGTAAAATCCTCTTCACTTTTCCAGGCTTACCTACACTACCTCTTTAGTGCATTCTCAACATATACAGGTTTTTTTGTTTTGTTTTTTAATATAAATAGAAAGGAGCCTTGCTTTGTTGCTCAGTCTGGAATAAAACTCTTGGCCTCGGGTGATCCTCCCACCTTGGCCTCCCAAATTGCCAGGATTACAGGTGTGAGCCACAGCAACTGGCCCCAACATGTATGGTCCTAAAGACACCTCACACTTAACAACTAATACCAACAAGATGCTTCAAGTTTACTGGTCAGGTGTCTCCAACAAGTCAGACAAGTGGTACAGCCTGCAAATGAACCCCATTATCCATTCTCCCCAACTTCCTCGGGTTTCAATGCACACATACCCACTCCAATGACTTCATTTCTGCCTCCCCGGCAGGCAAGGCACCACAATATTAAATAGAAGTTGTGTGTACAGCCTGAAAGAAATTTCCTCAAAGCAGGAGGGCATACCCTTTTCCCATGTCCTCCTATTGCTGGCTACAGTGAAGATGTGCATAAAGCAACAGTTCTGGAACATAAGAAAGAAGCTGAGGCTGGAAGAACCTCGGGGCAAAGATCAAGGAATCATCAGACCAGCCCTGGACTGCTTTTCTGTGAAGCAAGGACAAGCAAACTTTTTCTTCACAAGCCTGACGGTAAATATTTTCACCTCTGCAGACTGATACAGTCTCTATCACAACCACTCAATTTTTACTGACAGCTTTTTTCTTCTTTAGACTTTTAAAGGGCAATTTCCCTAGATAGTGATTAATGAAATAAAGGATAAGAATAACTTATATAGATATATAAGTCTTCAAAACAATTACATGAATTAACACAGTCACCAAGAATAGATGTTTTGCCACTACCCTAAAAAGAAAAGGTATTATCATCTTTTAAAAATTCACTGGCCAGGCAGAGTGGCTCAAGCCTGTAATCCCAGCACTTTGGGAGGCCGAGGTGGGTGGATTACCCAAAGTCAAGAGTTAAGAGACCAGCCTGGCCAACACAGTGAAACCCCAGATCTACTAAAAATACAAAAAAAAAAAAAAAATTCATAACTTAGGCCAGGCACAGTGGCTCACGCTTGTAATCTCAGCACTTTGGGAGGCCAAGATGGGTGGATCACCTGAGGTTGGGAGTTCCAGATCAGCCTCACCAACCTGCAGACACCCCATCTCTACTAAAAGCAAAAAATTAGCCGAGCTTGGTGGCACATGCCTGTAATACCAGCCACTCAGGAGGCTGAAGCAGGAGAATCACTTGAACCTGGATGGCAGATGTTGTGGTGAGCCAACATTGCACCACTGCACTCCAGCCTGGGCGACAAGAGCAAAACTCTGCCTCAAAAAATAAAAAAAATTCGTAACTCAGTAAGTATGCGCTCCTCATTTGATCTGGCTTTGCTCTGATGCCTAGTAAACTGTAACACATACAGTGCCAGTCAATGACTAACTGGTGACTGAGAGATGGCTTAAAAAAAATTTAAGACTTCCTGAATTTTGGTACCCATTTTAAAAACTGACAGTGAAGCAAAAAACCAAAAGAGCGACTAGCAAATTACTGAGCTTACCAGTTCACTGGCAAGAATTAGAGCTCCTGAGAGATAATCTTCTATATCCAGATGAAATCCTTTCTCCCGATCTGGCTCAACTAAAGAACACATGAAAATAAACTCACGCTGTGAATGCAATTTAAGCCTCAGAATATAAAAATACACACATAATTTCTCCCAAATTAAGTGAAGGATGAATCTTTTAAAAACTGGCTTTTTAATATATTCACACCCTCAACAACTAAACTGCACTGTGAATTTTTTGAGCTCTTAAGCAAAATTTAATTCAGTCTTTCCTCAAAAAGTAGTATTATCAAAATGCTGTCAATTGGCGTCAGAGAATATACCTCTTGTTAGAAAGTGCGTGATGGCTGGGTGCGGTGGCTCACGCCTGTAATCCCAACACTTTGGGAGGCCGAGGTGGGTGGATCACAAGGTCAAGAGATCGAGACCATCCTGGTCAACATGGTGAAACCCTGTCTCTACTAAAAATACAAAAAATCAGCTGGGCATGGTGGTGTGTGCCTGTAATCCCAGCTACTCAGGAGGTTGAGGCAGGAGAATTGCCTGAACCCAGGTGGCAGAGGCTGCGGTGAGCAGAGATCGTGCCATTGTACTCCAGCCTGGGTAAGGAGAGCG